TAGAGAAAGATTGGCATGAAATGGCTGGGACGGCTCTGTAGGTGTCTCATAATAAAGTTTTTGGTCAAAAAGATGGGCTCAATTTGCTGTAGAGCCTTAGAAAGCTAGGGTTCCAGAAGAAATATATCTATTTATCTAGTAGCATAATAGTTGCGTCTGGTCTCCTCGAAAAAAAAAAGAAGGGTTGCGTTGTCGAGCTTGAATTATCTTGGTTGCATTTCTTTCGGTGCATCCAACGAATTATATGCAACTTACCAAAAAGAAAGGTTGAGAACTGTAGCTATCATGATTCCTGACTCATCTCTTATCTGCACCTTTGGTACCCAACTTACCATTCATATTTTTGTGTCATGGAAATGGAATATTGATTATTTGTGTTATGGAAAGGGAATTTTTGATTGAGCTCTAGCACTAAGCCCGGTACTAGACCAAACTGAACAAATAATCCCACTAACATTACAGGAAAAAGAAATTCAGTTCAGATTTATGTCTACACACAAATATCAGGTACATGTTGATATTTTCTTAGCTTCAAAAGATCATACAATAAAAAATAAGCATCATGTATTCTGAAAAGAAAATAAACCAACTTCTTGAACTAGTGATGGAACATTAGTGGTTGTTCAGAGACCAACATATAAGAAAAGCATACTGTGTAGTTATAGATACTCCCACAGGCATATTACTGTAATTAACTGGAGATACTCCACAACCAACTACTCCTATTGGCCATCCAAAAGCAAATGTGGAACTCATCATAGACATCATATATATTGCATCTAGCATAACCCAACACCAAAAAAGTAGCTTTTGGCACAAGTGCAGATTACCAGGACACTAGGGGCACAGCATCATTCAATAAAACCACTTCAATGATCAAGCGAAAAAAAAAGATATATTCCTCTTACAAGATATATAACAAAGATATCAGTAGGGGTGAAAACGGTACGGAAATTTCCGAGAATTCCGGCTACCGTTTCCGGTTTGCACCGACCGTTTCAATCGGTATCCATAATTGTCGGTATCGGAAATGGAAACGGTAATCTCTTTCGGAAATGGTAGCGGAAATGATATGGGGTTTTTTCCGACCGTTTTGTCGGTAACCGTTTTTTATCGGTAATTTCCGTCAAATTTCCGACAAAATTCCGAAGAAGGAAGTCGGCTGGGCCTGGCTAGCAGGAGGAGGAGCCCATTAGGCATTAAGGAGCAGCCCATTCCGAATAAAGAAGCCAACTAGGCCTGACCGCATCGTCGTCTTCATCGGCGCTGGGGCACCGCCGCGCCATGTTGGGCGCCGCCACCAGGTCGCCGACGCCGGCCGCAACCTCCTTCGCCCCGACGGCCTCCATCGCAGCCGGCCACCTTCCCTCCCCCACGCTCCACCGCCGGCTTCCGTGCCACCGAGCCAAGCGCCGAGCGCCGCCGCACCGCCCCAGCCTCCTCCTCCCCACCGATGCCGCCCCTTTCTCCTCTCTCCTTCCCCCACCGCCGCCCTGCGCCAGGCCGCCATCTCCGGCGCCTCTCTCCTCTCGGGCGCGCGTGAAGGAGCCAAAGGCAGAGAAGAGAACGAGAGAGAAAACAGAGAAGAAATCGAGAGAGCAGGAAAAGGAACCGAGAGAAGGGAAGGATAAGAGAGAGAGAAAAAATAAAAGAAAGAGAGGAAAAGAAAGACTGTGGGATCCACTGGCGGGCCCCACCATCTTGACTCCTCTCTGTGATCGACCTGGAAATACCAAAAAGTCTAGTTTAGCATGAAACTTAATTACAACAGTAGTTATACAGTGTCAACATAAAAGTTCTTATGCAATGTGCCACTGTAGGACGACGATATAGCTATGTCAATTGATGATGAAATAATGAATGATGTTTGACAAGGAGCTGATCAGCTGAAGCCATGCCAGCTTGTGAGCTTGGTGTTCTCGAAGACTTCAAATCTATATCCTAAAAAAAGTCGGACAATATTAGTTATGCTGTAATCCTATCATATAAGCCACATTGTATGCTTTAGCCACATTGATGTTGAAGTATCATTGAACTTTATTTATATTATTTATCAATCTTATTGTCAACTTATTAATCATCATATAACGGTGTTGTGTGGCAGCGTAATGATGCAAGGGTGAAATTATAAGGTCATCTTCATACATAGTTAAATGCGGGATGATACCACAGTTCGCTGTTTCCGACATGAATTTTCGACTTCCGTCCGATATCGGTATATTCCCGTTCCGACGGTTCCGTTTCCGAGATACCGATATAACCGATATCGTTACCGTTTCCGAGTATACCGTTCCGATTCCATTTTCGAGAAAATAAAATGAAAATGGAAATGGTAGAGGGTTTTTCCGACCGTTTCCGACCGTTTTCATCCCTAGATATCAGTCGTACACCCACTCGTGTTCATCCACCACCCACATGATCTAACCATCCACCAGCATGATCGTGCAAACATGTTTGTTTATCCATCATATGCCACATAAAGACCTTTTACACAAAACAATAATGTCATGGCGAACTTTTGCGGAAAAGATAGTCATATGGCTACTAGAGTTGGTTTTTGTATGGAATTCCAGGAAATCAACCCACAGTAACATCTGATCTGCAAGCAATCTTTAAGGGCTAATGTTCCATCTGCTTTTTCCTAACATGGAGATGCCACATAACATGGTGCTAGTTTAATCTACCTTCTATTCTTTCCTATGGTTCAATCATGTGCTACTAGGTTAAGATTATGTGACAAAACTATTCAAGCCCATTAGATTAGGTCACAGAGCTCCACATATCACAGTTGACAAAACTCATGTCGACACGTAGAAAGGGATCACACTAGCCTTTTCCAGCTGAGTGCTAATGGTCCCAGTTCCACAGCTTAGATAGTAAAACCTGGGAAACAAATAGATGCGTGGAATGGATGCACCTGCAGCTGTCAATGTCCCCTTCTCACCCTGATGCAATCACATTGGATTGCATCAGTTCAGAGTGCTTGGAAAGACACTGGGTGAATGCTTAGCCAAGACAGAAAACCTCTTCTTTGATCTAACAATGGCACCTGAACATGTTCACATGCACAATTGGCTCAAACCGTATCAACTTCCACATGCACTGGCATGAAACGGACATCATATCAACCCTGATGCAACCCAACCAAGTGAAATTCCAGGAATGGTAGCACAAGGTTGCTTGTGCAGGTTCACATCCTCTGCCGCAACATGCAAACAAAACAGAAAATCATCACGAGTCGAGATGACAACTGACAAGCAATTTATTTGTTTCTTGAAAGATAATTACAAAAATTTGAACTCATATATCGCTCACCTAAGATATTGGCCGTCCATTTCTGATGAGAAGGAGCAGATGACGAAAGGCACGTAGCACCTGTTCAACTGGAAGTCAGAGGATCTGATTCCATTGATATTGATACTCACCAGTTAATGGGTGTCTTTAGTGCATAATGGCAGCATCTGCTATGTTCTTGATATGGACATCTGACCAAACACTTGGAGGCATTTGGTAAGTGCCCTAAGCAATGCTCAACGCTCGTGAACTATGCACACTTGTCCTACCTGATCAAGTACTATGTAGCATCTCAACAACTATATGTGCAATGGATACTTAGTTTGATACTATCATGCAGAATACAGTACCATATCTCTCATCCCTACTTTTTAATGCTCAGATTGCACTTGAACGTTATCACTATTCAACCACTACCATGTTCAGATAGAGGTGGGGACATTTAAATGCTACTTAACATTTGCATGTAGTTTTCAGGAGGATTTTCTATGTTCATTACCAATAAGAACTCTAAGGAAAATCTAAAACTGAACACTCTGAAGCGAACAACACTATGCAGCACTAGCAGTATCTGAATATTGACACAAGTATGTCAGCAACATTAAAAACAGTATTTATTATTCCTAGGATTAAATTTTGTTTCATGTTTCCAGCTATGATGCCTCAAGGTTTGTACCAGATCGAAAATGGAAGTTGCCCCGAAATGTATGGTTATCATAAAAAATGCCTGGCACAAGAAAGTAATCTATGACGAAAATATTTCCTTCTTTTCTTAAAACCCGAAACAAAAGCATTATGACTTGTAAACATTCAGTACAGAAGAATATGATATAACAAAGAGAAAGAGTAGCTCCTTATAAATATCCCAGTACATCCAAAGCAGCTACCAACTGCAAGGAGCCAGAGTACCTCTTTGATTTGTACTCACAAAAGATATCTTGATTGAAATAATGATATGGCACACTTGGCATGAATATCCACCATGTGTTACCAGGCAAGCATATGACGATTAAAGAATGGATAATTTCTATATCTGATTGAACAGACAATGATGTTAGGCAACTAGCAAATTGACATCAGTGTCACCCTTGGGAACAAAAGATTGCATCATACTAACTCAAAGACGAGTACATGTAATCATGTTACAAAAGGCCAAGCGGCAACTCTCATGTCAGTATTTATCCTCCCAGAAGCACATAAACTTTAACAGCTATTAGCTTATTTTCACAGATGCATTGAATTTTCTAGTATGCCTGTCACAAAGTGCCAAGTTGATATTAAAGTTAAGCACGCATCACTTGCCGTGTGATATAAAGGAGTGTGCATTTTCCCTCAATCTAAAATCAGTGCTCCAGGAAACATTTTAACTAGAATATTGACTGTCTTTCAAAATTATATAGCCTCCATAAGAAGGATGTGCATACTGTACATCTGTTCACTAAAAAGAGGATGCATAAACAGCGTGTTTTTCCTTAGGATAGACAAAAGAATTCAAATGCCACAAACTATATATTTTATGCATTAGAGGTTGATGGGCCTAAGTCTTGCCAAAGAACCTAAAGTCAAACGACATATACCTAAACTTTCATGCCTTTTAGTGGATAAGATAAAGTACATCAGTCAGTGGAGCTAAAGAAATTCGCAGTTGGATAGTTTTTTCAATGTCAATATCAGTGCAGCTATAATGCCTTCATCATCTCCAAAGGTGAACACACTTACTTGTCATTTTGCTTCGCACCCAATATAACAAACTACATCACCAGGGTTATCTGTGAAAGCTTTGAATGTGAAAATATAGTAATTAAAGGAGAAGCAGGATCATTCATCTGGCATATCGTACTGAAGTTTAACAAGTGACACCTTACATAGTAGACTACTGTTTGTTCATATTGTTTAACTAGTCTTCCATAATGAAAAGAAATCTAACAGAATATGGAGCATTAGGACTGTGATGGTGAACCTCCGTTCTGTCCACTGCTCAAATCCAGTACATCAAGTGATCGAAATGGAGGCCGCTGTCCAAATTTCATCAGATGTGCAACTTCATAAACTGGACGCAGTTCTAAGATGGATTGAACGTCTAGGTAGGAGTCGCAGGCAAAACACCAGATTGACAGATCACTGCAATGGGTTATATACATGTACTAAGTAATATTAACCAGATCATGTAGAAATGAAATAACATAGGAAGATGTACATTGTACAGGTTCACAATGAAAGCTGAGATACAAGAGAGAGGCAGCATATGACTGGAAGTGAACTTAATGGATAGGAATTAATATGAACATAACAATCTGATATTTAAAACATATTTTAATTATCTTTGTTTTTTTGTATAATTATATAACTAGGTTTACTACTAGAGACATTAAACAGAACAAATGTACAACTTATAACTTAGTAATGGGCTATTGGCTGGTTCTGTAAATTTGGTTTTCTTTAAAGATGATGTATGTAGGAATAAATTGGAACAGTTCAAGAGTCTAGTAACGGGTAAAATTATTCATTGTTATAACACTTGAAATTCAGGTGACACTTTAAACCCGCTGTACTGACTACTGACAGTGCAGATGCATGATCGTATCACCAAAAAATCACTGTGATCAAAGAGGAAATTAATCAAATGCAATTTTGATGATTACCTGAAGCTCAGGGCAAGACAATGTCCTGTATCTTGATAATGGTACAACATATGTTTGTTGATAAAACGGCTGCACAGGACATCTTTACAGATCAAGCACAACCAGTTTTCAGCAGGGTGATGACATCTGCACGGACAAACGCTCACAAATGAAGATAATACCTTGGATTTTACTCAGAGCACATGCATTCATTGGGAATCATGCAAATATGTCCTCAGTTACTAAGCGAAGATTCATAATAACAGATATTTCAGTTGGGAATCATGCAAAATACAGGGTGACTCAGGCTAACTTAAATGACTGGGAGACGTCAATACTAAAGTTGAATCTCTTTTGGGAATAAGGGTTAGTTAGAAGTTTATCTGCCAACGCATGGGTAAGGAGGGCTAAGTTAACCCAGCCAAAGCCTTTTAACCCTCTAAACCCATGAAAAAGTTAACCCACTATAGGGGTGATCCGGTCAACCAGTGGAGTAAGTTAATGCACCACCTTTTGTACTGGCAACTTAATTAACCCACCTAACCTTAGCAAACATTAATCCTACTAACTAGGTCAGTCTGGTTTGTGGGCCAATTATCATAGATGAGGTTTGCATGCATAATTAGCTCAACATGATAGTGTGAGCCAGATGTTGAAACAAGAAAATATAGTGGCAGATAAAGGAAAGGAAAATCATCAGGTGGAACTTTGGTTAGAAATCTCAACAACTCTCGGTTGGAACTCTTAAGGTACTTTTGTCACATCCTGAACTCGAGGAGAATAATAAGCCTTTCTAGTCTGCAAATCGGCACTTGGGATTAATTTTACCTTCGTCACATCCTGAACTTGAGGAGAATAATGAGCCACTCTAATCTACAAGCATACTCTTAGGATTAATTTCAACAATATTTCTTAGGGTACACATGTGACCTCATGCCTGGCCTCTTAGACACCTCTCAACAAGTTTATACCTTATAATTATAACATGATGTCCAGTTAACATAAAAAAGGACCTTTGGCTGCTAATCTAACAAATTTGCATAAAAACCACCCAATGAGAAATAATCTTGTCATCAATTATCAATTACTCCAGTTGATAAGTAGGTGAAGAAAACTTCATCCCCAGGCACCAGGAGTACATTTCCAGGCTCAAAGTACTGCAAAAATTGTTATCACAACACAGAGCATGTTCCCACCCACCCCTCGTGACCAATCAAATCGCCAGTGTCTATTCATTCAGTGAGCAAAATGCCAAGTTCTGGACTTGATCCAGTTGTGCTCTTGTGCTGGTGAGAGAAACTCACATGTATGTCACAATTTCTTCCAGCGCTAAACCCAAGAAGAAACAACTGCTACCGCCAAACACTAAATGTTGCATATGTCTTACAAAACATCTTGAGATTTTGAGAGCCACAACCTACTGTATGTCTACGATCAATATAATCATCTTGATCATGCAGCATTAAACTTTCCTCTTTACTTGGTGAACCAAACCGTCTCACCATTCATTGCAATTTGCAAAAGTTGAATTAGTGATATACTGCGAGGCGACTACTAACATTCTATCCACGTAAAGAACACAAACAATCCGAATACTAAAAAACAGAGTTGGTTTTCGAGAGGTAGGTTAGGTTAGGGCCAAAACCTAGAGCACGGCGAGTCGGGCGGCGGCACGCGCGCGAGGTCGTCGGCGCTGGCCGCGGGCATGGCGGGGAGGTGAGGGCAGCTGGTCCGCGCCTCCACCCACCCAGCCGCGGCTCCGGCCAGATCAAAATCCGCGCCTCCCTCCCCCTCCTTACGGCCGCCGCCATCGCCGCCGTCCTCCCTCTCCTTCCCCTGCGACGACACAATATGCATCCGATGAACACGAGGAAACCCCACCGACAGAGAGAGAGAGAGAGAGTGAGGCACAGTGCAGTGTTACCGGCCGGGACGTCGACGAGGGCTCGCCGGAGCCAGCACCTGCGGCGGCGGAGGAGGATGACGACATCGTCGGAGGCGGTGGTTGGCGGTGCAGGAGATACGATCTGAAGGATTAAGTCTATTATGCCTCCCTAATCTCTTATGTAGCGACTGATTGAATCTCTTCCTTAATTAACCGTAAAATCGAGCAGAACACCTTCCCAAATTTAAAATCAGTGTAAATTAACTCGTCCTGTAATAGATTGATCACGATTAACTTGCTGAGTCAGCAGATCTCTCAATAGAAAAAACTAATAAATTGTAGCGGGAATTAAGATCCTCATCAATTGCCCATATTTTTTTAATAAACCAAAATGGTTTATTAGGCGATAAAAGTTAATTTTTAGGTAAAACTTTATATATGTGTGTTTGTACTTTGTAGAGACTTAAAAAACAATATAAAAAAGCTACGCTGAAAATATCTTAAAATCAATTTAAAAGTTAAGTTTAAAAATTTAAATTTTGGTTTTGGCTTAACCTTATTAGAGAAACTAATAGGGCTCTAAGTTTATTTTTCTCTCTAAACTATTGCTCCCTCGACTACAAACCGGTTATATCAATCCTTCAACTTTGAAAACATATGCAAATCAACTTTTTTTAAATGGTACAACTCAGAACACAGACTAACACATACCGCACTCACACCATGACACACGCACATACACGCGTGCGCGTCCCTAAAACACGCTAGGAATGAGATTGGAGTAGAAGGGTACAACTCAGGACGCACACTAACACACACCGCACTCACACCATGACACACGCACATACACGCATGCGCGTCCCTAAAACACGCTAGGAATGAGATTGGAGACACTAGCCCTTAGTGCACGGGAAACGTGCAGTCCCACTGAACACGTACGCGTGTGTACCCTATAACCTAGCCGGGACCAACCGAAATCAGTCCCGAGGAAACCCTATTACCTAGCCGGAACTAACCGAAACGGGAAATACCCCTGGTGAGACACACGAGTTGCGATCCCAGGGATCGAACCCGTGCGGGCTGCTCGCTCACGTGGCGACGCTGGCCAACTAGAGATGGCAACGGGTGCATACCCATCGGGTTCTCTTGCCCCATACCCACACCCACCATATCTAAATACTCCCACTTAAATACCCACACCCATCGCGGGTACAAAATTGTCCCCATACCCACACCCGTGCGGGTAACGGGTATCCAACGGGTACCCATACCCATATAATTGACTTGTAGTATTTATAGTTTTGTACTGCAATTAGCCATATTAGAGTTGTAAACCATCAATATTTTCTCTAGCAACAATGCTATTAATATTAGTGTTCAAAGGCGAGTAAATAAAATTATACAATCACATTACATAATCAAGAAATCAAATAATAATTTTATATAATTAGACTAAGCAATGCTTTAAGATGTGAAAGGAGTTTTATGCTATGATTTAGTAGTCGTCGAGAGTTATATTGCTCATAGTTTTAAGCTCAATGAATGGGTTTTTTCTACCCACGGGTTGGTGGGTATGGGTGGGTAAAGAACGGACCCATACCCACGTACCCAATGGGTAAGAGTTTTCGCCCGTTAGTAGACCCATGGGTATAAGAGTTAGAACACGATTAGCTCCTAATAGAGTAAAAACCCGTCGGGTCTCGGGTTATGGGTACCCATTGCCATCTCTATGGCCAACCGCGCAACGCTCGGTTCTCATATGCAAATCAACTAATCAAATTCCCTCCGGAGGAGGAGGATACGTCTTGTAGAAGACGAGGCCCGAGAGGAGGAAAACCCCGGCCCAAGTTGAGGCCCAACTTGTCAGCCATCACTAAAAGCCCATTAGGCCGGCCCAGGTCAACCCGACCGATTAGGGTTTAGCTCTGCGTGCTCCTATAAAAAGCCTTCTCGCTTCTCTCCGCCGCCGCCACCCTCCCACACGCGCGCGCCTCTCTAGGGTTTCCCACCTCTCACCGGCGGCGGCGGAAGGCGAAGGCGGCGGCGGCGGCGGCGAAGATGGGGCACTCCAACGTGTGGAACTCCCACCCCAAGAACTACGGGCCGGGCTCCCGCGTCTGGTATGGCTGCTGCTCCCCCTCCTCCCCACCTTCTCCGACGTCGTCGGCCTCGGATCGAGGCGTTACCTGGGTTGGGTTTTGGTGGTGATTTCTTGGTGCTTAGCTCGTCGCGATTAGTGTGATTTGGGTTTGGTTGTGACGCTTCGTTGATGAAATCATTTCACCGCCATGCTTAAGATCTAGTTCGGTTACATGAGTAGGATTTCTCAGGAATGGACTGTTCAGTTAGAGGACTAGCAAATTAGTACTAAGAAGTAGACTTTTCTACCTTATTTTGATTGTGTAGCTTCGTCTGCAGTAGCATATCAGAATTACAGTACTTCTTGTATGATTCCTGGGATAAAAATTGGTGTTCGGTATGTGTGTGACCTGTAAATGCTTTTGATATAATGAATGGATTTTCTTGTAGAAAAGCTGATATCGTAGGCTGTTTGTTGTTCATTAATCACACTTTTCTTCTGTAGTTGATATGTTAATTGCAGTCATGGAAGATTAGCCCTTTGGGTGTATGTATGTATTGATCCCACATTTTCTTTGATGTGTTTGGTAGCCGGGTGTGCGGGAACCCTCATGGACTGATCAGGAAGTACGGGCTCATGTGCTGCAGACAGTGCTTCCGCAGCAACGCCAAGGACATCGGCTTCATCAAGGTATGCTCTATTATGAACTTCCGCTGTTCCGTGAAATAGTGAGATCCTCATTGGTTCTGTTTGCTGCTTCTGCGTTGACATTGGTTATGTAGTAATGGACCTGCTGCTGCATCACTACTGCCTGTTGCTAAACCAGATAGTTACTCTGTTCTCCTATCTAGATGATTTTGTGCAATGTTCTCCTAACTAAGATGATTTTGCGTGAATGTTTATCTGGATACGTGGTTGATGTATGTTTGTGGGATGCCTCTACCAATTTTTATGTACTCTTTCAGTTGAATGATGAGATGATGTTATGATATGCTTGCTTGCTTCTTGAAAAAATTCATCCTATGAATTGATGTCCTGCTCATTTACTTTATGCCTCATCTTTTCTTGTGTAATTCAGCATTGTAATGTAATTGATTCTTGAAGAGTTGTGTTCTTGTTAACGTTACCATTTAGGTGTGATCTTGGTTGTTATATGATGCTGTACATTTCTGTTTGAAAATGGCCCACTTGTAGAATAAAAGCTTTTCTGTGCATATCTTTGAAAAATCTGATCATTTAGTTAGGCTTATCAGTATGTTTTGGCTTCTTTCTTGCTTCATGGTAGTCTTTCTTGCTGCAAGATAGTATACAAGCTAATGATCACTATTATTTTGTTGCAGTACCGCTAAAGTCATCTTGGTTTCCTCAGCCCTACTGCTGGGTGAAGAGATGGAGCATTTAATGGAAGGCTTAATTTCAGTTCCAGTAATTTAGCTGTTTGTTTGGTACTCTGCAGACTAAAGTGGTTTATGTTTCTGATGCTATTTGAATGATGTGGATGCTAAGTATGAATTAATCGCGCATCAAAAAAAATCCTTTAATACTATTATATATGTGCTCCTGTGAGGGATCGTATGATTTTTTGCTGTTGAATGGAGATGTTCAGGTTAGCAGTCAGCTGCTGCATTTTGGACAGGCACATTTTCAGTTTGGTGGTTTAAACGCAGTTTTAGCAGTTAAATTGTGCATCTTGTAGTTGTGCTGATCAATCTTATGATCTCTACTTAATATCTGGATCAAGTTAATGATGACATTATCGTGCTTTTATATGCTGTATACGCTTGTGCTATGAAACGGATTTTGTGTCACAACGACGCTTCTGGTTTCCTTGTACCAAAAATTACGCTGACCAAAATCTCCAAAAAGTACGCTGGCCAAAATGTTCGATCTAGATTCAGCTTGAATTTTCACTTTGACAAGCAAATTGCTCATGCGTTGTAATACAAAATGCTCATGAGTTGTAATGGGATATATCCTTATTATACCGACAAAATTAATTCTATGTGCTATCAAAGTTCGCAACTTTTGTGTATACTATTGAAAAAGTTCGTAGCAATATTTTCTGAAGAAATTTAACTATTTGCCGTAGAATGGCATCTCTTCAAATGACATCTATTACCCTGGATATATCAAAGTTGATGATGGCTGAGATACAAACGCGTAGATGATGTACTCACCAAAAAGCAGATAAACGAGACCACATGCTATCTACTATGCTATGACGCTAATATACCATTACACTAGTACATTTTCTTTTTTGGTATATGTAGAATCTTTGATAACTTATATTTTTTTAGACTGGACATTATTTGTAAGATCGATTTGAACCGGCATACTTCACTTAAAATATGTGACAAAATGAATCTAATATTGAATACATTCAAATTATTCATTTTTTCTTAACTCTTTTAACAGTGTAGTTAACTTCTAGTAATGTGAAGAGTTACTTCCCTATAGCCTGTAGTAGTGTAATTACTTCTAACGTTGTGAAAGGTTAATTCTCTCTAGCAGTATAGTTACTTCTAATACCTGGAAGAGTTATTTTTGCTTTATGTTTTTTTTATAGTTACTTTCCTCTATAAGTGTATTTACTTTTAGTATTATGAAGAGTTACTTCTATTTTTAAATACGTTACTTTCCTCCAACAGTGTAGTTACTTTTATGTTATGAAGAGTTACTTTCCTATATGACACAAGATTTGATTTTTTTTAAAAAATAATACATTGATTACTTTAAATAAATAATATATGTATTTACTTGAAAATCTTTTCTACACTTTGCTTATGAATTTACTCCACATAGTTTTTTTATTTCAACTAAATCATAATGTAATTACTTCTAATGCTATAGAGAGTTATTCTATTGCATAGCTAACTTACTTCTGCAATTGAAATAAAGTACTTTTTAATTAATGAAATGTTTAAATATATTCAACATTGATATCATTTTGTCACATATTTTGAGTATAGTACAATGATGCAAATAGATCCTAAAAATAATATATGATTTAAAAATATAAGTCATCAGAGAGGTTTTAAAAAACAATATGCATCATTATATTTTTTTAAGCTAAAGGAGGATTTATACATGGGATGGAGTGGTTACTGCTTTAACCAAACCTGCGATTGGTCATTGTGTAGTCATGTCCATTTTGGGAAGAGTGATAGATCTAAAGAATAAATAGTAGGGGATCTAACGCCGTGTTTAGTTCCAAAGTTTTTCTTCAAACTTTCAACTTTTCCATCACATCAAAACTTTCCTACACACATAAACTTCTAACTTTTCCGTCACATCGTTCCAATTTCAACCAAACTTTCAATTTTGGCGTGAACTAAACACAGCCTAAATAAGATAGACAAAACTACGGCCCCTACTTCCTATTTACGTATGTCAAAAAAAATTTTAAGTAGAGATTTCATGGGCCTCATATCAGTAGTGTGGAGACTCAAGACCCCACCGCTCCCACGATAGATTCGCCTATGTTTGTGAATGAAAATAGCCAGGATATGCTTTCAACCTCATCTATCTTTACTACAGCTAGCAAACTTGAAAAAGCTAGACATGATTTCAATCAAATAAAAAAATGGAAACATCTGCAGGTTATCCATGCAGCTCAGGCCATGATTTCTGCATACGACAAGCAGGGTTTCAAAAACCGCCGGGGGCCCGGTTACCGCCACCCGGCGGTACGGCGGTTACCGGCGGTAACCGCGGTAACCGCGCAAAACCGCGACAAATTTACAAATCGAAATTTGAATTCAAAAATTCGGGCAAACCGCGCGGTTTGGCGCGGTTACCGCGCGATGTGTAATGGGTTGCACAGTAACGGGCCGGCCCATTTTTTTTTCTTTTTCCAATTTTTAAATTTATTCTCCGTTTTGCTCTTAAATTTGAATAAATATTACTCTTTTTTGAGAAATTTCTTCACCATAAAACACTATAAATCAAGCACTACCTTCACTATTTTTTTTGATTTTTTTCTTTTTTTTTAAATTTTTGAATTTAGACGAATTTTATTAAACCGTACCGCGCGGTACGGGTAACCGTACCCCCGCGGTACGGGCGGTAACCGCGGTAACCGTGCGGTTACCGGCGGTTTTTCACACCCTGACGACAAGGAAGCAAGTGTGGATAAGATGGACAACAATGTTGGTCAGGAACAGGAACAGGTATATATAATCACAAAGATATCTCCCATCCCTGCAGGTATTAGATGCTATATTAATGCTTCTTGGGTGGACAACACAAAACATGAATTGGTATTTTCATTCATGATCCAGTTCTGGTATTAGATGCTATGTTGATGCTTCTTCTCCCTTGCAGGCTGAGCTCACAGCACTTCGGGTGGCCTACAAATCTGCATTCTTCTCAGCTCGGCGAATGTGATCTTTCTCACCGACAATGTAACAAATTGCTTTTGTCTTTAAGCAAAACAACTTTCAGGAAAATCGAGGCCAATGGAGTTTGAGACCGCTCCTTCCAACTTTGCTTGCAGGTCAAATGGATTCGAAGAAGGGCAAACGAAGTTGCTGATAAACTTGCAAATGAAGCCAGAAAAGAGTTCAATCTACGGCTAGAACCTACTTCTTTCTATCACAACAACACTCATCTTTGTTATATATCATCCTACGTACCCAAACACTAGTAGTGGCCTTGTAAACCTTTTGCATGCAAGAGGCAATTATATAACTCAGGCTTGGTTTAGTTCCCAATTTTTTCTTCAAACTTCCAACTTTTTCATCACATGAAAACTTTCCTACACACACAAACTTCTAACTTTTTCGTCACATCGTTTCAATTTCAATCAAACTTTCAATTTTGACGTGGACTAAACACACCCTCATGTACTCTGTTTCTAGTTTCCTACTCCCTCCGTACCCTCATGTACTCTGTTTCTAGTTTCCTACTCCCTCCGTATTTTAACGTATGACGTCATTGACTTTTTAACTAACGTTTGACCACTCGTTTTATTCAAAATTTTTATGCAAATATAAAAATACTTATATCATGCTTAAATAACATTTGATGATAAATCAAGTCATAATAAAATAAAATATAATTATATAATTTTTTTAAATAAGATGAAAGGTCAAACGTTTGTTAAAAAGTAAACGGCGTCATACATTAAAATATGGAGGGAGTAATAAATAAAAAGTCACAAGTTCTAAAAGAAAAAATGTAGTCTAGGAGAGAGAAAGAAAAGCAGCTTCACGCGTTCCTTCCGCGCCGCGACAGTCCGCCACCACTCCGCGTCCCCCTCCGCCGTGTGAAAGAATCATATCATCTAGCTGCATTAATAAAGTTGTGGTTACAGTGGTATCAAATGGTTGCTTCGGTTTTACGAAACAGGATCAAACACACAATTATTTACTTTACTTTTTAACTGAGGGAGTTTAAGTTAGTATTATGATAGCACTAATGCTAGCAACTGTACCACATCTGGCTCCATTCCAAAACGAAAAGGGCCGTAAAATTTCAATCAATCAGGACAATCAAACTGGCTATGAATTCGTGAAATTTCACTTTAAAAAGATCATATTGAAACATGTACTGTACGTACTTAACTGTAGAAGGTTTGCTCTATTATTTTTTATCCCCTCTTTTTCTTTAACTATGGACTTAATACATTTAATTTTAAAACATATGTAGAGCTAGATTTTTTTTAAGAGCTAACGCTTTATATTTTTCTTCTCTCTTTTCCCAACATATAACTTACAGTTGTACTGTTATCCATGAACGAAATGCAGAGATTTTGGGTAAACATCGGCATATATGTGATCGATTGATTGCGTGATTTGTCAGGTGAGCACGTACGAAGCTTCCTCCCTCCCGTGTTAACTATTCAGTCATTGTTGCAAACACCGAGTAGTAGCCCTTCACACTACCTAGGGCCTCTGTGGTGAACCCATGGTTTTCTATATAGCAAAAGACGACGTGTTGTATACATGCCCTAGGATAAACTTTACACCGGATTTTTTTTAAAAGAAACTTAATTTACACCGAAAATTAAGGGATATTTAACTATCCGCAGGTTTATCCACCTATTTTATCTATAAATAAGTTCGCAGGTTGACCTACATACATCACAACAGCTATAGCGGCTAAATTGTACTTGGGAGTAAACAGTTTAAGGCCCCCTTTGAATCAAAGGAAAATCATAGAAATTCTAGAGGATTTTATTCTATGAAAAATAATCCTATAGAGTACTTTAAAACGAAGGATGTTTCCTATCAATCCCTTCGAAATTCCTATGGAATGGACCTTACTAGAGCAATTTTAGAGGAAAACAAGCATGGGTCTCACCTCATGTTTTTCTCTTCATGTGTCTAAGATTCCTATGTTTTTTCTGTGTATTAATTAAACGATAGTTTGGAGACTTTCCTATGTTTTAAAATCCATAAGAATTCAATAAGTGGCATTTCTATTCCGATGTTTTTTTTTCTATTCCTCTGTTTTCTCAATCCTACTATTCAAAAGGGACCCTAAAACTCTGCGCACTAGCAGCGAGCAAGTGAGGTGACGGGCAATGGGTAGCGACGGCGGCAGCGATGAGTGATGCGAAAGTGAGATGGCAGTGGTCAATCCCCTTTCTTCTCTTTTTCCTCCTTTTCCTTTTTCTTTGCTTTTCCCTGGCTGAAGTATAAAGCAGTTGTACAAAATTATTTATTCATCCCATCTTGTATATGAAACTATAATTTATATGTGAAATATATACTGAACTAATTTATCTTGAAATACTCTTGGCAAGGTAGTACAAATTTGGTAAGGTAGTACAGAGAAGAATATACAATGTCATAATATTAAACTCAGCATGCAATTAATCATAACCAATACTTCCTTCGTCATATTATAAGACTTAGATTAACATCTATAAGAAGGTAATGTTAGGAAGTCTTATAGCCTTAAACGATGGTAGTAGTAAGTAATGATTAATGAACGTATCGAGAACGCGACACTTCTAGTCCGCGTCTATTGGGTGCGCACTGCACACAGTACAGTACACACCCTCTCCACCTGCAGAGATCGAGCCTCTAATCCTCTATAAATATCGTTGGAGCTTTGCAGCCAGGAAGCAAGCTAAGCATAGCTCGAGCTAAGGGTATAAGCAAAGCAAAGCATGGCGAAGAGTGGTCTCCTCCCTCTCACCATCCTCCTCCTCGCCGTCGCCACCGCCCTCCACGGCGCCGATCGTGTCACGGCCGTGCCGTCCTTGGAGGGCTTGGAAGCCGCCGGGGAGGGCTTGGCCGAGCCCATCAAGAAGGTCGTCGGTGGTGCCGTTGCTACCGGCGTCGAATCTGTCGGCCGGAAGAGGCCGGCGATGAAGGATTTCGCCGCCGGCGTCAAGGCTGGCAGAAAATTCCACAAGGGCTTCAAATCCGGCGCCGCCGCATGGGCAATGTTGGCGCCGCTTCCGCCACCGTACTAAGTCTTCCCAAGTTGTGGTTACCGCCGGTGCTTGCCGGCGCTGGCGCAGGCGTTACCTGGGCGACCAATTACCGCCGTCATCCCTGTCCCTGCAGGCATGGGCGGCCTACAGGGACAGGGATGACGGCAGTAATTGGTCGCCCAGGTAACTAAAGTAGCGCCGATCGATACCCGCCGTATATACATCGTGTACACTGCTAGCTTGTGTGATGCAATATATAAATAAAATTGTATTAACAAACAGAAAAAGGAAAAAGAAAGAGGGAAACGCTGCTGCCGTAGCTGTGTCCCTTTTTGTGTTTTGTCGAGCGTCCCTGGCCCCATCTGAGTATCTTTAAGGAAAAAAAAATGAAACGAGCTTATGAATACAATGAGATCTCCGTTAGGCCATGTCCAACGCATGGCCTCAAGCATGTGGTTTTAATCTTAGGCTCGGATGTTATGGTGGAGGTTTGGAAAGAGCTTTATTTCGTGTCAGAGTAACTTGCATGCCGTGGTGGCTTGAGGGCAAAAGCTGTGGTTCAGGGAGAAAAAGAAGTGGTCCAAACCTCGGTTGACAATCATCCTAGAGAAGTGCGAGAAAGAGTGCATGTTGTCTCGCTGTCGAGAGGACTCCCATCACCGCCATCAGCCATTGCGGAGCTCGCTGACCGCACCGGAGTGGGGAGAGGACAGTGGGGGCGTCGTTGTCTAACATATCCGCGCTAAGCTCGAGGTCCACGGGCTGCGTGGCGGTCCCTTGGGATCCTATCGCGACGGTCGGGGAGGGAGCCTCGATCCGCGCCGACAGCAGCGACAGAAGAAGGAGAGGCAGCCGGTGAGCTCACCATCTCAGTCCACGGGAAGACGGCAAGCTGGCGAGGAAGGGGCAGCAATAGCGGAGATTTTGTACTGCCATGTAGGCGCCACATCAGCGGAAAGCAGGACAATACTATTGAGGGACCTTTTTTACATTAGTTTTATAAGTTGAGGGATGATAAGGGACCTAAAGTAAACTTATTGCCATGCCTGAACTAAGGAAAAGCCCTAGTGGGCTTTGCTATGTGGAAACATCAGCCCGAAATGGAGTAAGGTTGTGTTCGTGTGTTAAGAGTTCCCAACTCTCCTCTCTTATTTTCCATGTGTACGCTTTTCAAACTACTAAATGCTGCGTACCACCAATCACCACTGCTATGTAGGTCTCCCAAACAGTGAGGTAGGTGGACTTTCGTCCCTTTCCTAACCTCAAGCCATCAAACATGGAAAACAAATTTAAGTGAGGTGAAAATGATGATAAATAATTCGACCCTAAGATTTACAATGAGGATAGTTTTGTTTTAATTTTTGAGGCTTTAGAGTATGCGTGTGGTTATCTGATATTTAATTTCCGTTGCAATGCACAGGCATTCAGCTACTAAGGAAAAAAACTATAATGCTTATGAGTGGTAGATGGTGAAGGGGTGGTAGTTGGGGGTATAAATGTGAAAATTAGTACTACTTTAAAATGACAAGTATTTGAAAACAAATTTTGCCTCCGTCCCATTATTACTATGGAACCGAGGAATATTTGTTTGAAGACATAGACTCTGAATATTATGGAAATAGCAACATACCCGTGTACTGTGTTATATAATGGGCGATGACAATTTAACACGTACAACTAAAATTGCAACAAATTAAATTACCCGTTACATCGTTTGGGTATTTTACCAGTAAAAAACATTAAAACTGTATTACTCGCTTAGAGCACCAGACAGACAGACAGATTCACCGAGACCCATCTGTGCCGTCATGAATCATGCACGCACAGCAGAAGTACACTTTTGTGCAAGTTGCTGTACTTTTCTTTTCCACAATAGACATTGACTAGTTGTAAACTAGTATGAGTAATTCAGATTAGTATTGTATCTTATCGTTTATGGTTTGCCAGCATAACCTACTCTGTTCACTCTGTCCTCGAGACATTTTTGTCACTTCATTTTCTCAAGCAACCTTCTCTGTTTTAGTTTTCTTTCCATTTTTCTTTCTGAAGCCATATACCATTTTCCATTCTTAAATATGTGTACTGAACATAAACAAAATTTTGTGGTGTTGATATTAGTGTCACTCTCCTGTGCTTAACCATGATTCATCATTTCAATGCACTTACTACTCTCTTTGTGTCATTGTATGTGCTGTCATTTGTCAACCCTGGTGCAACAAGATTCTGAAGCCAAGGAGAAACAACATGCCAAAGGAATTTTTCTTTGCCCAATTACCATTCCTTTTTTTTTGGAGGGGAACTCAAGTCAACTTCATGCCTGCAAACCTGAAGCCCTTTCAAGCACCAACACAGTATATATACACATTCTCTCTGCAACTGCAATTTGCACCATACTCACAAAACCATTGCTCAGGCTCAGCCATGGAATGCAGCTCCTTTGAAGCAATCTGCAATGAGTCGGAGATGATTGCGCATTTGCAGTCATTGTTCTGGAGCAGCAGCGATGCTGATCCTTGTTTTGGTAGCTCATCATTTTCTCTCATCAGTAGTGAGGGCTACGACACAATGACCACAGAGTTTGTGAATAGCAGCACAAATGTATGTTTTGATTACCAAGATGATAGCTTCGTTTCAGCAGAGGAGACTACCATTGGTAACAAGAGAAAAGTTCAGATGGATACTGAGAATGAGCTGATGACGAACCGCAGCAAGGAAGTTCGCACCAAGATGTCGGTAAGGGCTTACGTTTGATGGAGTACCATAGTACTATATATATTTTTTGTCATGGAATTTGTTGAACTTCAAGTAAGTTTGGATTTGCAGGTGTCAAAAGCATGCAAACATTCTGTTTCTGCAGAGAGCTCACAGTCTTATTATGCAAAGGTTTACTAGTTTGTTAAATTGTATTAGGAGCTTTTCAGTCTAGTTTCTGATCTTGCCACACAATGCTTGTAAAACAGAACAGGAGACAGAGGATCAATGAGAGATTGAGAATACTGCAAGAACTGATCCCTAATGGAACAAAAGTAAGTTCTTGCTGGTTTGATCAGTGGCTGTAATTAGCAGTGGTTAAATTGTTCCTTTTTTTTATACATTTGCAGGTTGACATCAGCACAATGTTGGAGGAAGCAATTCAGTATGTCAAGTTTCTACACCTGCAAATCAAGGTGTGCATTCAGTTCTTAGTTATGAGCTGACACAAATAAGACTGGATCTGAGATTTCACTACATTGCATAGTTGCATTGAATATATGTGTGTACTAGTATAACATTAGAAATATCCAAGTGTTACAGTGATCATTTTCCTGACCTTTTTTACTTTCTGAATGTTGCACAGCTCTTGAGCTCTGATGAAATGTGGATGTATGCGCCCCTTGCTTTTGACAGTGGTAACAACAGGCTCTATCAGAACTCTCTGTCACAAGAGTAGTAAGGAAGGATTTGTGCCTTAGCAGCTTTGCAATTCTTCTCTCGGACTTTGATTTGATTTTATATTTCATGGATATCACATTTTTCTGGATTCTTTTGTAAGTTATTCTTGTTTCTTTAGACAAAGGAAAATAACCGCACTTTGATGAAGTATGCTCAAATAAACTGGATTTTGCTTCTGAATATCATTTTTCCCTTTTAAGCAGGAGAGTTCATAAAAAAATGGAATGTGCATTTTCCAAACCAATGTAGATATTCAAACGACAAATATACCATTACCATCATTTCAGAAAAGCACCAGGAACGCAGTTGTCACTTTGGTTCTTGTACAATTGTATTTTTTTGTCCTACACGTTGTGAGATCCATCTGTTTTCGGTCTAGTCATTCAAATGCAACAAAATTTTCATTTATCTTAAAATAACATGCCTAATACTTCTCTCATGTGTCCAATATATTGTTTTGGTACTTTACACCATTACATTACTTGTAAACACAAGAGACAGTACTATGCCTGTATAATCATCATAAGTACGACATTAGCCTTTTACCCAACCTATGAGAATTATATACAAATGGTCATTTAAAATCCAAAGAAATTTTAATATATGGTCCAAAATTCAAAGTTATTGTCAAGAATGTCTCGTCGGATGAAATGAAAGTAGGATCATCAATAACACAGATACAAATTAACCCTAGCCATCTCCTCAAACTTCCTACTCCCTCCATCTCAACATAAAACGATTCCTCACATCCCAAGAAAACTATAATAGTGAGGAAAAGAAAAGATCAAAATAGCTCTCATTAATAAGGCCTGTTTAGTTCGCGAAAAGAAAATTTTTGAGTGTCACATCGGACGTTTGACCGGATATCGAAGGGGTTTTTGGACACAAATGAAAAAACTAATTTCTTAACTCGTCTGGAAACCGCGAGACGAATTTATTAAGCCTAATTAATCTGTCATTAGCACATGTGAGTTACTGTAGCATTTATAGCTAATCATAGACTAATTAGGCTCAAAAGATTCGTCTCGCGATTTCTATGCAAACTGTGCAATTAGTTTTTCTTTTTATCTATAGCTCTACACATGTGTCAAAGATCCGATGTGACGTTTTTAGGAAAAAATTTTGGGAACTAAACAAGGCCTAAGAAAAATAGTATTAGTGACTAAGTAGGTAAGATGTATTGAAGGAATAAATTTCTTAATCTGTGAATTGATTGCACCTACAGGTAAGAGAGTACTAGAACTCAATTTATTTTAGAATAGAAGAAGTACATAGGTCATAGGTGAGTACAGTTTGGGACAAAGGCCCGGAGGAGCAAATTTGCTTCAGATTTTTTTTTTCAGTTGACGAAACAGTACTATTGATGATAAGCATGGCAGCTCAGCTGCATCCTCCTGTATAGTTTAGTAGTATAGCAGACAGAAGGTGATGTCCACCAATCACCATCAAGGATGAAAACTAAGGAAAATACGATGTTTTTGAAAGAAATTGCAGGAGTACTACCGTTTGATTAATTAAACCAACAAGAATAGTCTACAAGTGGAAACTGAAAATAAGACAAGGGGCATAAAACCCCAGGCAAGCAAAGAAGGAAAGAAAATATATATCTAAGTTGTTAATTCGAAAATAATTAAGGTGCAACACCTGTAATGAATTACTCCACTATGACCCCGAGAGAGAGAGAGAGAGAGAGAGAGAGAGAGAGAGAGAGCTAATGAACGATCGTAGAAAGGATTGTTCATTTCATTGTGTGTGGATTGACTCGAAGAGATCAGCAGAAAATGATCTTCCAATCTTGGCACTTTTTCTTCAGATTTCAGTCATAAAAAGCAGAGTAACTCAAGTGAACATATATACCATGCATCGGCAGATGTTATGGTCTCAAGTAGTTCAAGATAATACAAGATCGATCATCAAATTGATTGCAAGGATACAATAGTACAGCTACAAAAAAATTTGGAAAATTGCAATCACACCCCTCAATTAATTAATATATATTACAAATAATGGATACACAAGGACCTTATCGAGTTATTTATCATACAAAGGTCCAGGGACTAATTTAAGTCACCCAGGTGCATGTATAAAAGCTTCTTAAGTAGACAACAAACATCACCTGTCAACTGCATCCTCCTAGTGGATCAGTAGCAGACAGAAGGTGAGATACTCACCGTTCACCATCAGAGCCTGTAAATAAGGCAAATGTGAGTATGTGACGTTGTTAGATAAGGTCCAACCACCATAAATAATCCCCTCTGTTCAATAAAAATATTTGACATTAGGAAAAGATGCAGACAAGTTTTATAATTTCGATAATTAATTATTTACTAGAATAAATTTATAAACTTTAATAAGCTTATGCTATTAGGATTGTGTCAGAGTTACGGGTTAGGTATACCCTCTATCCTTCGACATACGTCACATATCGATATGGTATACTTGCGCGCATACGGACGTTTTTGGCATACATTAAGGGAATTCATCATGGAGTTCACAGATGGAAGAAGTCATACTCGGACAGAACCGGGTCGTCATTATATCGTGCCGGGTCTGATGTCTCCGAGTCCTACTTGGAGACCAGCCGACTTGCGATATAAAAGGGACCCCCCAGGAGGACCTAAGGCATCGAATCTTACCGCCAACACATCCACCACAGCCTACGAAGCCGGAGCCTACAGGAGCCAAGTCGCCGGGTGATCTAGTCGAATCAACTCGACTACGATCTCATCGGTATCGTCGAGTTCCGCTATTCCCTTTGTAATCTGTGGTTTCCATCATATAATCCCATATCAATTGAATTAGGGCTATTACCTATCAAGGGGCCTGAACCAGTATAATCTCTGTTTTCTGCCTGCTTGATGTCGTATTACGTAGATCGTCGTACCAGCGTACCCCAATACCCTCTATATCCGGTCTACGGGTATCCCCCGTCGATAGTGGTGCGCCAGGTAGAGGGACTTGGTGCTCAAGGTTCTACTACTATGACATCTAGCTTCGTCGACAACAGCGTCAACACCAACCTCAACCAAGGAGTTCCTACTTCAACAATGCTGGTGTGGACTCAAATCGGCGAAATCGTCTTCCCGGTTTACACCACGGTGCCGATCTTAGCTGGTCCATCAATGGCCGGAAACGAGAACACAGTGGCTACAACCCAGGGCGATTCCATGTCGAAGGATCCTCCCGCCGAAGCGGAGATCGGAACGTCGACGACATCCGAGCCCGAGAAGGATCCTAGTGCGGCCAAGCCTTGTCTTTCCGACAAGAATCACGAGTCGACGAGGATGACTTCCGAGGTGATAAGGTCCTGGTGTCCTATCCACCGGCCCAGCACATCAGGGCCGTCAACGCAATACTGAGGGAAACCCCCTACGATCCTGTTCTGAATGACGATCTCGCACGATGGACAGAACGGTTACGGGAATCAGTGACCAACCTCAGCAACGCGTTCGAAGAGGCCGCTGCTGCAGTGCACCCAGAACAGCCACCAACTGGCGATGCTAATGGTGAAAACCCTGAACAGCGGGAATCGCCTCATCGAGCCACCCCTCCACCTCGCGGCACCGGCGATCTCCGCGATCACCTGAATGGCCGCCGAGAGGCGCAACGCACACGAGACAACGAGAACCGTTCCCGACATCGCGTCTCTTCACGACGTCACGATAACGAAGAACGAGGAGGCCGTTCGAGCGAAGACCGAGACCGTGGCCACAACCGCCACGATCACGACGATCGCGAACGGCGGGTGCTGGGTGATACTGGTCGAGGACGTCGCCATAATGACGACGATGATGGAGATCGGCGCCGAGATAGCAACGGGAGACGACGATAGGATTCTCGAGAACCTGGCCGATGTCCTCGTAATCGTACGCCGGAACCAAGCGACCCATCGTCATCGTCGTCATCCTCCTCATCCTCATCATCAGATAGACATCCACGAAGGACGTACGATCGCCGACAACCCACCGCCCCCAGCGCTGGGTGTAGAGCTTTCGGTTGTTCACTTCGAGATGTCCGATGGCCTGAAAGATTCCGACCAGGAGAAATACAGAAATACGATGGGAATACTGACCCAGAAGAATTCCTTCAGGTTTACTCCACGGTACTCTACGCTGCCGGAGCGGACAACAATGCGTTGGCAAATTACTTGCCAACCGCATTGAAAGGTTATGCGTGTTCATGGCTAATGCATCTCCCCCCTACTTGATTTTTTCGTGGGCAGACCTATGGCAGCAGTTCGTCGCCAACTTCCAAGGAACTTACAAGCGCCATGCGATCGAAGACGACCTACATGCGTTTAATGAGTTCTTGAGGGATTATGTTCGGCACTTTAATGAGTGCAGGAATACAATCCCCAAGATCATCGACGCTTCTGTAATCCGCGCCTTCAAGTCCGGTGTCAGAGATCGTTATACTACCCAGGAGCTGGCAACAAGGCGCATCACGACTACTCGGAGATTATTCGAAATTGTCGATCGATGCGCTCACGTGGACGACGCACTGAGACGCAAGAACAACAAACCGAAGACCGGAGGGGAGAAGAAACCAGTCAAGGACGCACCTGAGTCAAGCAAGAAGAAAAATCGCAAAAGTGGGAAAAGGAAAGCTCAAGCGGATGTTCTAGCAACAGAATACGCGGACCCTCCTAAGCACCCATACCCATAAGGCAGCGACACGAAGATAACATGGCGCCCTATACACAAGTCAGACAGACACTCTCTAGAGGATTGCCTCGTCTTCAAAAAATCGCTCGCAAAACACATGGCATTGGAAAAAGGCAAGCGAGTACTTGTGGTCGAGAAGGACGCTGAGGCGGTTACTCAAGAATCGGACTCAGCATACCCAGACTTCGATCTCCATGTCTCGCACATCTTCGGAGGTTCCACGGCATACTCCTCAAAGCGAGAATACAAGAAGGTGGAACGTGAAATCTGTTCGACGTGGCAGGGGGCTGCGCCCAAGATGAAGTGGTCTGAGTAGAAGATAGAATTCTCAGAAGAGGACCACCACAAGACTGCTGTCATCCCAGGGCGATCTCCGATCGTGGTCGAACCCACTATTCGAAATATCAAGGTCGCACGAGTTCTGATCGACGGCGGTAGCTCAATCAACCATTTCTTCACCAGCACCTTGGACGCGATGGGGATCCCACGAAGCGAGTTGACACCCACCGATCAACCCT